CTTGTTTCTACCAAACACCGTTGTATTTCATTTTTATCATCTGGACTTTATAACATATGAAAAAAAATGAAAGCTTACATTGACTGCGATCCAGAATCAAACATTTTATAACTCACGAACTATCACAGTCTTCAGAATGAATTGTGACTTGGAAAATCTAGCCATGAACTTTCGATCAGTTTTGACGTGTTAAACTCTGAGGCACCGGCAGACATGGCGCAGCGGACTAGCACAGTTTTCGTGCAGTAGTTCGAAGGTTCATTTCTTACAATTCGTTTCGATGGTAAATTGGTATTGGCATATTCCAGGGAGTCAAAAGTGCTACCAGCTTGCTGTAAGTAACCCTCAAAAGATGGAGCTATCAGTAGCCATGCCAGCAAGCGGTTGCTGTTGGCATTTGCTACCACTCGGGTCACTTTCTAGGTGCTTTTGCCTGTCACTGAGAGCGAAATACGGAAAAGCTTTTGACTTTTGAATTTCTGAGGCTAACTATCTGAATATTATATTTCATAGATTGCAGTGTGATTTGCAGACAAACGGCACTTCGTTGCTGGACGATCAGGCACCGCAGACAGCGAGGCGTTCCGAGCTTCAAATACAAGCAAGTACCTCTGTGCAGTCAGGTTTGCGTTTAGGCAGCAGCCTCGATTAGTATTCCATTTGCTTCACTGTATGCTGCAAATTAGACATTTTCCTGCCTCATTGATTTCCATTTCTGATAGTTGGAAAACATAGTTTCTGTTCAGTCCATGCCTCATCGTTGTTGCCCAATCCACAACATCTTTCAGTTACTCTTTAGCAGTAAAAACACTTATCCATTGTATTTCATTCACATCACAGCACTGTTACCAACAGCAACCGTTCATCACAAGTTTCTTCACGAATAAATTTACTAAATCAAGGGCGGATTAGAATCAGTTTTCTTGGAAGTTTGTGGAGAACACATTTTGTATGCTTTTTGAATCGTGTATTCATAATCTGTCATGGATACACAATTCAAAAATCGTGTATTCTTTTTTTTT